CGGATTCGAACCCGCGACCCTCAGATTGTGAGTCGAGCGCCTTATCCACCTGGCCATGCCGGGCTGCGTAAAAATAATACCTGCAGTTTGAATAAAAGAAAAAATGCGGATAAGTAAAGATATTTCTTTAAAATTGCATTGTTCGTTAATTTCAGAATTTTTGAGTAAAGCTACACAAAATTGTCCTTAATTTTGACCTCATAGACTAGAAAGAAGACAATTAGACGACAGCACCTGGCTTAAATTATTGGGCTACTCATTTTTGACCGAATAGTGGAATTGGACCTATCTCTTATAGAGCATCCACGGTCCCAATTTGCAAAGTGTGTTTAAGGCAGATCAATATTTGCTTCTAAGAATCGATCTCAGTGTGAAGGAAGAAAAGACCATTGTGGGTCGGCAAGGTGGAATAGCATTTGGAGTCGTGTGCAGCAGGTTTCTCAGAATGTTACCAGCTGGATCAACCCAACCCAAGCTTTGGTTAATGCCACCCAAGAAAGAATAGAGGCACTTAGTGGAAGAAGTCTGTCAGAAGGAGATGTTTCATTAGCAGATGAGGCAGTGGGCATCAACCGGTGAAGATGATGAACCGTGGGAAGGTAGCGAGTCTCTCTGATCCTGAACGACTATGAACTACAGAGAGAAAACTGCAGTTGCCGGGAGTAGCTTGTAACATTGCTGCCCTAGAAATGGGACTGATTACTCTTTCGAGCATTGGAGTGCTTGAGTATGCCTACTACACTGTACCCATGAGGTCAACAGCATTTCAGCCAGGTACTGAAGAACAACCTTCACGGAAGAAGTTTCGGTTGTAAATACAAGTTTCAGTAAATCAGGCAAAGCGGAGTTCGGCCCGATGTTCAGAAGAACCAAGAGCAAGCAGTAAAACAATGGCACTGCAGCATAAGAAAACTAACAAAGCCCAAATCTGGATTGGCCACTGACTTGGTGGAGAATCGCAGACAACTTGCACTTTGCTTGGTTTGATAGTTCTCTCATGGGTAGCTGGAGTTTGTAAGGGTACAATAGCAAAGATCGAGTTCCTTGTTGATACAGAAAGGGCCGAAACATTGGTAGAAGTAACTCATGGTATGTAAGGCCCACTAAGGCCACCACTGATGAATGGCAATAAATAAGACATGGGTGAAGAGTCAATTATCTAGCTATGTCTCAGAGCTGTTGCTTACAGAATGAAAGCAGTCATCTCTGACCTTAGTTCTGACATTAGCATACTTGGGATAAGTGTATTGTGGAACTATTGGTCAGTTCTGCTTGCACAACAGGTAAACTAATGTTCCATGTGAGAGTTATCTGATGTCAGCAACACCAAGCCCAGGAACAGCGACTGGCAAAACAGCACATTTATTAAAAGGTTTTAGTTACGAATTGTATTTATTTGTTAAAGGGTTATGTCATTTGTGCTGCAAATGTTTTTAAGAGTTAAAAAAGGTTATGCCAATTCCTTGACTAGTGTGCAGGTGTGAGTTTGATTGGTTTTAAAGTTAGAATTAATGGGATATATTGAAGTTAAGTTAAACTTTGTATAAAGAAGCAGATAGCAGTGTCTTTTAATGGTATGTTATGGTAAAACATCCTTAATTTAAAATGGGAATGACCAGTGTTGTAAATAGTGCTAGTAACTCTGCGTAAGTCCGCCCTTAAGCTATTGATTTAACTATAAACGTGAGTTTTAGTCAGTCTAAAATAATATTTAAAATTAGTTGGTCAGCTTGAAATAAATATTGAGGGAGTAACTCCAGTCTGATCAATCACCTCTCCAGTAAAGGTGACTGTCTGCTTGCCAGAGTTAACACACACACACACATTGCTATTTTGCATTTGAATAAAGATTGATTTTTGTGTATGTTAAACACTCGTGTCGAGTCTATTTCTTAGCTTAGATTCCGTTCGCTTGTCCAGATCTAAGAATTACCTCGTAATATATCTTATAGCTGATCTGCTTATTCACTAATGAAGGAGTTCAGTTCTACCTGAATATACCATATGAGTGAAGCGTCCACTCATAATCGTATGTTTATTTATTTGTGGTTATTCGAGGTATCGTTTATTCGCTTCAGTTTGGATCAGAAAAGAGCTTTAGTCTCCCTACAGCTACTTAAGTATCGAAGTCGCCAACAAGCTCCAAAGGGGCTTTTGCCCCACGATCTAGAAGTTTCTCTGTATTATTTGTTTTTAGACACGTATAATGACAAGTCTGTCTTAGCACTGTATTTCTTTGAAATATCTTTTCTCCAGCAATTTGCAGAGAATATGTATATATTTTGTTTTTGATAAATTCCAGTACTATTTTTAAATTGTAATTTTTAGGAATTCAAAACGGTCTAGCTAAAATACTTTTGGAGAAAATAAATCAAATTTATTTTAGAGCAAAGATATACAACGGACTATCTAAGCCGTGGGGATAGCATCCAGAATTTTAGTACTATATGTCTTCAAGCTTATCGCTGACTCGAAGGAAAACATAAGTCATTGATACTTGAAAGTTCACTGGAGACTCATCATTGAGTAAACTATAAAGGTTTGTTTGTTTACTAGTTATATGATATTTTTATAATGATTAATTGTTTCTTTAGAGATAAGATAAATACATAGTTTTATATTTTAAAGTTTATTTACTACAATAAACAAGAATAGAAGTTTTCCTTTACACACACACACATATATATATATATATATATAAAACCGACATTTTTTCATAAAAAATATATATTTCCAGTAAATAAAAGGTCTTAACGTACACAAACCTTTCTGTTGCATAATATTTTCTGTAAAGATGAAGTAGTTTTTTTTTCTATTTATGAATTATCAAAACTACGAATTATATAGCTATGGGAAAAGGTTAAAAAATATGTAAACGATTCTAATGAATAAAATAGTATGATGCATTACTTTAATACAATAAACAGTTTGCAGTTCAGACGCTCAAAAACAGAATTATCAATATATATAAGTGTATAAACTGAAGTCTACATATAGAATAAGATAGGTGTTTTGTTTCTGCAGTTATAAATGTTCTTGGTATAGTAAATATTACTTATACACACGTGTATCTCTAAAGTTATTCCGTTATACTTTTAATTTTCCTTTCTCACAGGAAATTCGGCTTTTAAAATATTTTTCCATATACATTAACAATGGAAACTTCCTGTCCATACCCACGGGAAAGCAGGTAATCCGTCACAGAAGCAGGACAGGTTCTATGGTTTGAGTTAAGATGATTTCTTAAAAAAATTTCCCACATTCTCACGAAATAGCCAGGTACTCCTGACCATATGTTTCATCATGCTATCCACCCTATAGGTGTGTAGCTAACAAAACATTTTAGCTCATTCTGTCTACGTCTTGACCTGATGGTATCTCCTTCTTGTGAGGCGGTTGATTTTGGAGCACCTAATGCTACATAATCTGCAGGTCAGATCTGTCTTATACACTGAAACTTCTTCCGCCGGAAGTAAAAAGAAAAACAGTCTAAAAAAAGAGAAGTGTAGTCGTTGAGAATTTTTGTCGTACTGATAATCTTTGCAGCTGATAATCTGTGAAAAGAAAAGGTAAAAATTAATCCTTGAAACAAACATTACATTGTATATTTTACTCAACAAATAAGAAACATCTATGATTTTTACTTATGTAATGGAATATATTAATTTAAGCGTATACTTTCAGATTTTCTTCGTGGACCACATGTCAAACGGTCATAAAAAGTTTTTTTTTCATATTGTATTCCGTATTTTTTCACCAGTACTTCCTGTAGGGTTTAACTTCTATCAGTAAGCTCATAAAAAGCAATAATAATAAAAAAAAGTCCTCATCCCTTCTCTCGGACAGAAAATAAACAAGAGAGGGGACTTTTACCTCCCCCTTCTACTCCACCACAATGGTTTTCATTGAGATTCCCGAAAAGAAGGAAGCGAGGGAGAAGGAACTCTACGTACGCGAATGAACAGCTGAAGTCTGTGGAAGAAAAAGCCTATTAGAATGGTGTCTTTCAGAGCGCGGTCCTGTCAATGGTAAACAAGTGTGGTTGAGGCACATAATCATACAGGTAGGTAGAAATTCGCAGCTGTATAGAACTTGAAACAGCGCCACCTCAAAACAGCCAACATCGTTCTTGTTTCCTCTGAACGCTTGAATTAGCGTTATAATATATACTTGAGATAGGAATAGAAAGGGAGAATAGTGACAAAATAATGTATAAAATATCTGATACTAAGATAATTTATTACGTAACTAATCGTTTTTTATTGCGTATACATGTACGTATGATTATCTACAGTTTACTTTTATAAAATTTATAAGTATAAGAAAATTAACTTACTTTTTGTATGATTTACGGAATAGATTCTCATTAGAGATGATTGTAAACATCTTCCTCATATTTAGCAACTGTTGTTTAGACAAGTAATGAAGGGGATGTTTACTTACACATTAAGGAAACCAGGAGGAGAAGTCTAGCGAATTTTCTTCTTCATGCCTCAAACTGTGACGTGGAGAACCAACGTCGCAACAGAGGCTATAATATGGAGACGCAGCATCTGAACCGAGACTTGGAGTCGGAGATACTGGTGCCGGCATCTCCGACTGTGAGGTTAGATAAGGCGTCGTGTTCAAATCGGCGTGGATTGAGTCTACGCTGTTTGGTGTTCGATAACAATTCTCGTTCGTTTGCCGGTTATAGACTAGGATTTCTCTTTCTCCTAACGTAGTAGCTGAGTTTTTCTGCTCTTGCAGAAGCTGCTGAAGTTCTTTGATGTATTCCACAGCTGCTCGGAGTGTTTCCACCTTGCTCATCTTTTTGTTTTTAGCGCTGTTAGGAACGTGCTGTTTTAGTGTTGCAAAGCCCATGTTTACCATTTTCACACGGTTCCTCTCTCTTTCATTCCGCCTGGCTACTGCAACAGGCCTTGGTTGAAGCAGCGAGCGGCCCAGCTGAGAGAAACTAATATGTCGTTGGCAGCGTAGTAGTTCCTGCATATTGCCATTATCCACTGGTGGCTGGATCAAATTTCTAGTTATGGCAATCTTGTCCCCAGACTGTGTGGATAATGAAGCAGAGGTAATTGTCACACCTGTAGAAGAGACAGCATTTGAAGCAACTAGGATACACGTGGTTGTATTCATGATTTTAGTTTTATAAATAAACTGAGGTTAGAAATTACCTATTAAAATAACTCAATACATATTATGTTAGCTAATGTGATTGAATTGACACAAAACTGCAGCTTTAGCTGAGACAACCAAAAGTATGGTGGGATTATCTATAGATTACTAGAGCTCGTGGTGAAGTGTCCAGGCTCGAGCTTCACTTGAATTCAAAACCTGGTCTCATGAATACTAAGCTCCACCCCCAGAAGCAAGCAGTGTATCGCTTGTCAATCTATTTTATGAGTCGCATGCGAGACGCGTGTATTTCGCAGGACACAATGTGTTCATTGAAGTACCGTAATTTGGGTACAGAAGCTAGCTCAATGAGCTGATTGATGAAAGATCCTGGTACATGTTTAATTGAACGTAGAAAGATGCAATAGTGTCAGGAACTGAGACAGAGCGCTTGGAATTAATATGTGAATATTCTGGTAAAACATGCTACTCAACTGACTAAAACGCTTCTTATATCAAAAGGTAAAAACGACTAGTGTTAAAGCAGTGAAATATATATCATATTTCAAAATCGTCTGCAGTATAGAAGGATCATATTAGTGAGTTTTACAAGCTACTGTACACTGAAATTGGTACACAATAGAGAAACATATAATATAACTTGTATTCCCATTCTACTATGTCACATTATTTATAATTTTATCTGATTGAAAATAATTATATATAAATACCAACCTAATTAAGCTCAAGATTTTAGGATATTCTGTGATTTATTCTAGCACAAACTTGCATTAAGTAAATAAGAGGAAATATAGACGAAAAAAGAAGGCCTAAAAGTTCACATAAATCCATTGATATTTAGTTTACTAATCTGATCTATATTTAAGCTAGAATGATGAAAATCAGTAAAAACAATTACAATTAAGTGAAAACTTTTCACATTCTGGTAGAAAGAATGCAAATATGAAGACATAGTATTTTTAGTTGTCCAAGATATAAACGAAAGATTTATCATTTCAAATGAAATACGGACAGCGAAAGACATGCTAATATAAAAGTCGAAGAGTTGCTTAAAATTAATTTGCAGCTCATGTTTTACTTACAGAGTAATAAGAAAGACGTTATTAAAAGTGTGAAATGTGTTTAACTGTGAGTACCAAAGTATCAGATATGAGGTTAACTGTGAGTACAATAATATCAGATATAAAACGTTGATGCCGAATATATTTCTTCTTTCAAATACAAATATTCGACATAACGTTTGAGATTGGATAGAAATTAAAGACTTATTAATCACTTTCATCTCGTCTAGTGTGGACTAAACAAAAAAGATTGGTGTATATTTATATTACTGTTTTTTAAAATTTTCAGTGCTGACTGAAGGATAGAAACCATTATTTAATGAAGACGACAAACAACTTCAGAAAAACGTTAATTTCTTGTACTCAACTTTTCGGCTTACGTCTTTATCAATGGTCTATGAACGAAAAAGTTATACTATTGTAACTGTGTTTTGTTTTCGGTTATTGTCATTTAAAATCAGTTTGGTAACCTGGGACGTTTATAGACCCTTGATAAAGGCGTAAGCCGAAACGTTGGGTACAAGTAATTAAACATTTTACTGAAGTTGTTTGTCGTCTTCATTAAATAATTTATTTTCTAAGTTGTTATGTTTGAACAAATATTAATAGAGTATACACAGAAACGAAACTGTTGAGGAAGGACATGTAAATGCTCTTAGCCCCAATTCGATGGCCTCAAGCACGTTTAACAATTGCTTTCCACAGATTAGATGGCTTCGATCTAACGTGTAGTTACAGCAGCGTGGCAAATGAATGTAGATTACTTCCTACAAATGGGACGGCTGAGATCTAAGGTGTAATTGCAACAGCGTAGTAAACATACACATATATTTGATATATATATAACGCTCTCATTTCTTATCGGTGATCCTTGAAATATACTTGCCAAGACATTACTTGGAATGAAATTATTTCATCACTACAGTTTATGGTTATTTGTTGCTTTTCAATTCAGTGCCTCTGTTGGCCAACGTTAATAAATTATTTAAACGTAAAAATGATGAGGGTCTAAAAGTTACAACGATTGCTAACTGACAAAAATCACAAATCGAATGTGCCAGACATAGCCTAGTGGTTAGCGCGCCCGATTTATGAATATTAAGATTCATGGTTTGTGACACATTGCCACAAAAACGAGCTCCGCACTTTCAGACCCAGTATGTGCTAAACAGTAACGGTTACTTACTATTTGATCAGACAAGTGTATCCAAAGAGTTGGCAGTTGGTGTTTTTTACTAGATGCCTTTTCCCTCTACTCCATCGTTTAAAAATTAGAGATAGCTATACACAGATAGCTCATGTGTAGCTTTGTGCAAAATTCTGAAATAAACCATGTGTGTTTGTTTTTATGCAAAGTCATATTGGGCTATTTGCTATATCCACCGAGGGGAATCGAACCCTGGATTTTTGCGTCGTGAGTTCGTAAACTTACAACTGACCCACCGGAGGAGGAAATAAACAAATCAACAGCAGATTGAAGAGTAATGTGACTAACAGATCTTGGTTCAAGTTGAACAAAAGAGAAGCCTTTTCAAATGTTTAAAGTGGCTGAAAATTTCATACTTGAATTCGATATATTTTCCATTTGCACGGATTTTATTTAACTTTTATAAAATGTTTTATGAGACCGATATGAAGGGACAATAATCAATAATTATTTTATTTTATTTGTGAAGGTATTCAATATTGTTTCTAAGTAGTACGAGTATGTAAATATATTACGTAGAGTAAAATATGTGAACAAATTTTACACACCAGGAAGTGTTTAATAAATTGAAACTAAATAAAAATATTTACAATTTATTAACTTTTTATTATTAATAATTTAAAGAAGATAAATAAAAACGCTTCATTTTCCAAAGTCAAACACTATATTAGTAATACCTATGCTTTATATAT